CACTACTCATTTCATTCATTTCAGGAGGAACTGGACGCAGGAGATCGAACCCCTCATAGCAATGAATCATCCACCAGCGATCCGAAAACAACTACAGGAGTAATACCTGCTACAAAGCTTTCAGTGATTTCCCCACATGTTGTCATGGACAGTGTGCCAATGGCCAGTTTTCTAATGGGTGAATTGTCTTTTGTTAAGGCGGATTTCGATGCTGCTGGAAAACATTTTGAGAAAGTTTTGCAAAAGTCGCCCAGTAAGTTTCTCTCTTATATGCCACACAGACCGTTGGCTGATGCTTGGTTGTCAACTGTGTGCATAGTTCGGCTTTTTCAAACATCCTCCAAAGCGAATGTCATCATTGCACGATAGTCAGCTGCTTGTATCCCTATGTTGTTGGTTAAATGTAGGAGCCTGAATGTTTGCTTAGTTCCCTTAAATTTACATCAGATGATTCTTGGTTTGGTCCCACACATTCTCCTACCGAAGTGGAGATCCGAAGCGCAATCTAAACATTGAAACGTCGTAAGGCTTCCGACCATGACATGGTAAAACCATCGATGGTGGGCAAGTAAATGTCGACGAAATCCTACGCTATTCACGGTTTAAACTGACGTGAAGCTTCCGAACTCGTATAAAGAATCAGACATTGTCCCGTTTCAACCTGCGACACCGTTGGCTACTGTAACTAGTAGGGGGGTTTATTGGGCCTTTGGGGAAGATTCCTCGCAAATAGACTCAGGCAGGCAGCCACCACACATTTAGAAAGGCGCTAGATGGCCGTGTGGTCCTATTGGGATTCGTCAGTAGCGCACACCCATCGAATTCTGTAGGATCTTAAGCCACGACCCTACTCTTACGAGCAAGCAACTTATGCCATTGAGCCATGGGCGAGAGCGGCAGACCGTCATGACTAATATCCAACTGCGATATGGCGCGGCTCATGCTCCCCTGTCGGGCATGTTATGAACCTGCAGAGGACAGGACTTGCCAACAAAGTCACGAATTCCTTTACGAGCCGCCACCAATCGTGGTGGCATGTAAGCGGCCAAGGCGACCACTGATTATTTGTAAGCAGGTACAATTTGTATTTGTATTTGATGGCACCTTAGTAACATGTAGGACAGTGGAGCATGAGCCGCGCCATATCGCAGTTATATAGCAGTCATGGCGGTCCGCTGCCGTCGTCCATGGCTCCGTGGCATAAGTCGCTGATTCGGAAGAGGAAGGTCGTGGGTTCGAATCCGGCAGGATTCGGTGGGTGCGCGCTACTGACGACTCCCAATAGAACGGACCGGCTGTCTGGCGCTTTTCTGGATGTGATTTGGCTGTCTGCCCGAGTCTAACAACTATGAAGCCTCACAAAATACCGTTGGCGTTCTCGAGACAGTCTCAAGCTCAACTACAGTATATACTATGTCTCCGTTCTCACGGTCCTCTTGCACACCTATGCGACCTGATCGGTTCCCTCAGAAGTAATGAAATCGTTCTTAATGTTTGACAAGCATTGTCTGCGAAAGGGTGCGCCTGTATGGTGGCAATATCACGTATACACCAGAAATCCGAGAGCAAGTGTTTGAACAAACAGCTTCTGCCTTTGAAAAGTTGTTCTCCGACACCGCATACATTCGTTCGGTCACCTATTACGCATGCCAACCTGTCACTTTTCATGTCGAGCATTATTGGCGCCTCCGGTAAGCGAGTAGGAAAGTGCCGCGGTGGACAACCAATGACATGGGGATGGCGCATGAAGAAGGCAACGCAAAGCTTCGGGAATCAGTCGGATCAGCTCATCTAGCAGGCTGGGGACCTCGCTACTTCAATCCCAGTGCTTGGAAACGCTCGATATTTCGGCGTGCAACAGATATTGATGGCATCGATGTTGTTCGACCTCATCATATATTAGTCAATGTCTAATTGAGTACGAGGACTTGCAAGCAACATAATTTTACAATGGCGTACGCAAAGCACAAATGCTCCGTTTTCTTTTGGTATTTGTGTTTCGTCCTTTTCTCTTGTTTTTCCGCTATGCTTCTCATGGGACATTATTTAGAACCATATAATTAAAAGCTCCATTTTCTCTCCCACCTATTATTCTTATTTTCGTAGATGGTGTTGTAGTACTGTTTCCTTAACACGGAACCTGCTAGGCTACGACCGTCTGACTGTTCAGTCCCGCACCAGCCAACCAACGGGATACAGAAAAAAGGCCAAGACTCGGTAACAGGGAGTATATTCTACACGACAGACCGCTCGTATTTATTAGGTAACGAAACGTACTATTTTTAGGAAGCCTAGCTATGCGACTGGCTCTCAGCCAATGTCAGTGATTTTGGTTCCACGGTTTTTCCATATTTGGCCGAATGCACTGCCTCCTTTGGCGCTGACTTGTATTTGCTAGCCAAAACTCTCGCCTGAACTGGCTTGTATTCGTTGGCCAAAAACTCGTGCCTGCTTTCCGAACAGTTTGACTTTGTACCGTGCTCGTGCTTTCACATGTAGCAGACAGCTCACGTACTCCACAGGAAACCCACACACGTTTGCGATCTCGTATTCGGACATTGGCTGGGCCCGCCTCTCTAGCAGATGGTTGCGATGGTACAGCACTCAAGCAGCAGTTCAAATGTCTGATGTACTGCTGTTGATGATAAAGTTGGTGATACTTGTGATGTTGCGTATTTCACTGTGGCCCAAGGATCGATTAAACAGTCCACAAATTTAAGACAATTGAAGAATAAATGATCAGTTGTTTTAAATGTTCTCAAAAGCTTAGGAGACGGACACATCGCACATCACCTTGTCATTTCCACTGTATGTCCCACTGCATCCCGCAATGCCTTGCTCCGGAGTCTAAAACAACGAACGCAGCCTACACGCCATTTCAAGCTTAGTCGCGTCTCATGACTGTAAATGTACCGACTGGTGCACAGCTTCTCTAGTGCAGGCGGTCATCTACCAATAGTACTAAAGTGATCTACACCGAGACGCTTTAATCCACTGTCTTATTGTTCAGAATTACCACGATAAACTTCAGATTCCTTTTATATAAAAGCCTAGAATATTCACTCCTATTTAGAAGGAAAGCATCGTGCTGAACCCACAAATTGCTGCCTAGTGACTCTTCCTCTGGTGCAATACAAAGTTATGCAGATTATGAATGTGAAACCGATAACGTATTTCCTAGAAGTAGCTGACATCACTGTAATGAAACAACTGGTATCTTGACTGTAAGCCATTAATTACAAAACTAATGACCTTCCGTAGTATTTCGGACTACATCTGTTGATGCCGTTGAAAGGGTTGACATCACTCATCTGCACATAAAAAGACACTTAATAATTCAGCTTTTTGCAGTCATTTTTGCCTCTTCTCACTCTTGTAATCGATGCTTTTCTTCCGGGTTGGATACGGTGCTTTCTACCTCAATACCGTCTGCATATCCGAGCTGCAAGCGCCCTGTTCCACCTTGCAGGTGTCATTTGCGGCGTGTAACACGCTTCAGTACTAGTGACACGCGTATAACTAGACACCATGAAAGACCTAGTCAAAGTGATCAATTCGTCATTGCTACTTGACCTATGCTCTCAAAGTATCACTGGTTGTCCAAACGGTTGGACTGGGGATGGTGTCAGGGGATCCATCGTTGCTGTGTATCTCTTATGAAATCGACCTCAGAGAGGACCGCTTTGTATTGCCAGATTCCAACATCAGACTGGTCACTTCGGACACGATCCCAGCAAATGGAATAGCCGATGTCTACTTTACAGTAAATCATGCTTTAGTCGAAAATCTTCTACCGCAATTCAAACACATTATGTATGCTGAAAAGCAGCAACGACTCGAAGTCGTGGGTATTTTGCTGACAAAACCATTCGACATAGACCTAAAATGATCATGAAATGTTTGCCAGCCCTTCGATCACTTTTGAAGGCTTCTTTATTCTTTCCCTAACGGCTAAATGTATACCTACAGTCTCACAATGGTGGTCCCTAGAGCGGACAGCCTTGGCAGAATCGTGGCTTTACTCCCCTAAATTGCTGTCAAATAAATGTGTACAAAAACTTGTGAGCCTTCAGTCACCTGTCAGGTTACAGGAAGTTTGGTGACATATGTGAAGTGCTTTTCCGGTAGCATTCACATTCCCCTCACTTTTGGCTGTGTTCAAAGAAAGACTCAAGTGATACTTATCTAATATTCTCGTCTGATGCAATTTCTATCATTGACTATCCCAACGTAGACGACCCTCCACCGTGCCTGGCCTTGTCCGTCGCAACTAAACAGATGTATAACTTGATATGATTTGGCGGCGTCCGTATCCGGATTTGCCTGTTACTGTGACGTCCATGGGGACAGTCACAGGACGCCTGCGCCTACAAAGGGGACCATGGGTGGCTTGCGCTGCACCACCCATAGTTCCACCCACACACCCCATATCCAGTGTAAACCCGAAGGAATAAGACCGGGAGGCATGCGGATGGAAGCCACGTTTCATCAACGGAGCCGGCCCACACTCCTTCAACAAGCAGATCGGAAGCATTCCGGCCTAATTGGGAAACCATACACACCAGACGTACACGAGGCGGTGGCTGGACCGTAGCCCGTTCCACGCAGATTGCATGGAACCACTCTTTGAGCCTAGCACCGTCACAAGGACGGTGCACTCCGTCCCCTCCAGCGACGACAAACTGTCTCCTGGAGCCAGTATGGACGAGGTAGTGGGTAATAGACAGGTAGGCACCTTGTCAACATTCACATCAGGCGCATCCACACAGGGGTGCTCCAGCAACATCTACTTCTGAAATGCAAGATTACTCATCACGCAGGCAAACGTACCACATACGCCGCCTTATTGGCCTGGATTAGTAAATTGAATGGGAACATACTCATGGTGCTTCTATTCCACATACTATAGTGCCTTCTCCGGCACCTAAGAAACCGCCCTTTTGAGCAGTTCACGGAATTCGCATCGATCAAATTTGTCTTGGATTCGAGACACCTGAAATCAACATGAGTTTGTCATAAACTCACTTTCCTCATGTTCTGGTAATATTATCTTCGGTTTGCTCGAATGTCGTTCTACTGCACCAAGTTAACCGTACAAAAGCGGTATGAAGATCCTCGTGGAATTCATTCGGTATACATATATACATAGATTGGCGTCATCTGTGTCCAATGGCAGTTCGAATGCAACATATGTACATGCGTTTATCCAAACTTAAGTGTGAGCTGTTACAAACTGCATAGAGGCACATTAGACATCATCATCAATGGTACGACAAACGTGTATGGGTTTCGTTTGGAGGTCAGGCTAACAGCCACTTTCGCAGGTATGAGAATAACTACCCAATACGAACTGTTGATGTTTTCTTCTACCTTTAGACGTGACTGCCTTAAATTTTGGGCATCCATATTTGAAGGAATCCGATGTGGCAATAGTAAAGCAACTGCTAGGTAGAATGATCACTAGACTACTGGTACAGTGAAATAGTGTGCACTTAGGTGTTGCCCTCTACATGTACAGTCTGGTTTGAGTAGCTGCTGTGGGAGATCACACAGCATGTGAATGTGATACAGTGTCCACTTCTGGCTCTCTGTGTCTCCGACCGGTTCGGTCATGTGCTGCCCGAGGCATGTGCACCTACTCAAAGAACGATTGATGCGCAACGTTTGGTATTGACAAGTGACATCAACTAAGTCCCGCTGCCCACTGTCAAACATGCGACTTTCCAAACAGTGTTCACATTTATTGTGCAAATGTCCAAGTACTCAACCGGTTATACCTACCGACCTGTACTCTACTGTGGCCATAAGCTATTTGCTAACGGTCTATATAGTACGTTCCAGGTGCAGCCCATTCGGTACTCATAAAACCATTGTCGCTATGCGCCGATTCATTTCCGATGTTTTATAATAACACATTGACGTACCATTCCCGTTAGATGCAACCTTTTACTTAATCCATTCAAATGATTGGCCATATGCAATGCAACTTCTGGTAGGCCTCTCTCTGCACGTCTGCCTTCCATCCGGTTAATACGTGTGTTTCATAAGCCCCCGGTAAATTCAGTATGGCTGAGGGATAACTGGAACTATAACTATACTCACTCTCTTCACTAGCCTGCGGAGTGGAACATGGAATGGCAACATCGTGATAATCGCTAGTCGGTTAATTGTCGGGATTGTTCACTTGACACAGATTTTCCAGGGAAATTTCTCTTCGAATGCATAATCCAAAGTGGGCACACGAAGGACAATCGTTGAGCATTGTGTTACAAATGTCAAATTTGACATTTTATGCGTACTGTAAACGGCCAAGCGATGATAACCTTTTGATTCAAACGTATCCAGCGAACTGGAAACATACACAATAATTTGCCACCCTAGCATTGATCCGTAGTAAGCACACAAATCGCTCGGAAATACCGCACTCACATCAATTACGAATGAGCTCATGGATGGACTGAACCATTATTCTGCGATGCACCGGCTCTCTAAGCATCATGCAAGTTAGCATTGAGCAGCTAGTCAAGCTACAGTTATGGTGAGCAATACCATGGAGCTGACATAGTGATATGAATCGCGACCGAATAATATATATATATATATATATATATATATATATGTATATTTCGAAAGCATGTTTCAAGCAATCTCTACTTCGTAGACCCGTTTTCTGGCAACAGGGGTTCCACTAACTTTGTCAGAATCCCCATAACAACCTACGTGACACGAGAAACAAATACTTTTTTACCAGTGATAAATAACCGTTGTCCATCACACATTTCTGTTCTACGTGGCGCTGTTGCAACTGGTTGTGCAGCCATTCGCCGTTACAGCTGACAGTTGTTCGGTGGAGCATAACTTTGTTTCATTTCGCTTTCGTCATAGTACGAACGATTTTTACCTAAGCCTAAGAGACACCCTGTTCTCCTGAACACAGGCGATTGGGGCTACACGTCCTTTGAGAGTATCTCCAACTTAGAAATGCGCAGTCTTGACATCCGATATTTTATGGCTTCCTAGATAGATCAGCTAGGACAGTGATATGCACAAACGCATTCCTAGCCTTTTAACGCTGTAACTAAAGAATAAAACGCATACTATTCTGTTTCGTACAACAAACCTTTGCAATTCGGAAAGCGATTCTTATCTGGCTGCCATGTGATTGAACTGAAAGCTGTGCAGAAAAAAAACAAAGCGATCCGTTTTCCCGCGGTAATTACCCAAGTTTGCCACACGCACTGACCGAAAAAGTCAGAATGCAGCCAACATGCAGAAAATAAACGCACGTCTTTCGCCTAGTGCACACTTTCAATCCTTCAACAAATGGGTTCTCATTTGGCTCGACGCAAGGCGCACAAGTGCGCACAAACCGTCATCGTCCGTGTGAAACGTAACAATGCATACTCGCTTTCACGCTTTCTCCCTTTTACGAAAACCCTGATTGACACTAATGAAGTTTTGAATTATTTGTCTTGCAGCGGACTACCAGACCATTGCCAAAGCTATCGAAGCATTTCGACGAGCGGGAAAATTGGAGCAATCATCCAAACTGTTGGAGAATGCAAAACAAACTGATCCCAAAAGTGACTCGTCTGCGGGGTACAATTATTGTCAAGGCTTGTGTTACTGGTAAGTCTTTAATTATTCAAATGTGCTCGGTTGTAGTTGTTTATTTCGTACTTCAATTGTCCATCAAACAGGACGCTTGACTCTGACCATGTTAGAAATATAACCACAACAAATATTTTATAAAGTTGGTGCTACTGTAGGCTGACATTTTCTGATGGGAACGTAACCTAGGGAAGTTAAATTGGTGTATTTTGAATCGACCTGCTTGAGTGATGGCACTTCCGGCTAACTGCGGAAAGACCGTGAGCTGCGCCTGTGATAAATTGTCAATGTTGTATTGAGGACACAACTCGAAACTCAATTTCTGCCGTCGGAAGGTCGGTTAAGATGTCGGAAAGAAAAAGAAATCCACTTATAAATGATGAGCAAGCACAGGCAGTGAACTTGCCGATCAACATGCTTTTCCGTCTGACTAGTTCACATATGGTTTTTATACCGTTTATTAGTTTCAAGCTTTTGCTTTTCCCAACAAACGGGTGTGGGTTGACACGGTTTGGTTTTCTGTATGTATGTACGGTTCATAAGTGTTAGATGATGTAATGTAATGACGCCAGCGAATGATCGGCATGATATTTGAGCACATATAAGGCGCTTGGTTAAGTAGCAGCCTCTTGAAGGAACTTTCATGTGCGGCAATTACGTAGCGAGAAAAGATGTTGTCTACATTCCAGTCGGCTGTATTGTTCTACCACTTTTAGATCATCCTCCTTGTCATTACACTTGAGAGGCACCGCAGCTATTGTGGCACAACACAAAAAGATATGAGATATGAACTAAGAAAATCGACTAACAACCCAGATTACAATACGTGTGATATAACACAGAACCATAGTACGCATCTAGTGTGTTGTTGTGGTTGGAGGGGGGAAGATAAGCGGACTAAACAAACGACATTGATGTCGGCTGTTCGTCATTTCAACTATTGTATGCAATCAGACGCTTTCATCCGCCTTGGGACCCAAGCTCGGCAGTCTGGAAGGCATCTACCGACACCTAGTTCAAAGTGTGAGTCTTCATCCCTCTTGACAAATACATCGGTTGGCCAGTTTGAGAAAGCGACCTCTCACTGCTGTTATACCTGAGCTCTAACATGTGATACTATGAGTGACTAAGGCTGCCTAAAATCTGGCAACAAATATCTTAAACCCTAAGTATATTGCAACTTCGTTTACCACCGTGTTATGCAAGCCGAGTGTAGGACAGCAGATACTTGTTGCATCCATTCAGATGGAGTAAAATGTTTGTGGATATGCGACTACTGCAAAACGGAACCCTTTTTACTGTGCGATGAAACTGGCCAGCACACGTATACATATCTGTTCATAACAACGGTCGGTGGTGTGATCACCACTGTTTCTTCGGCTCAAATGTGCAAGGCGCTAACCTCAGGCAATTGGGTATTACAAATCTCGTCTGTCAGGTTCATTCAATAACTGAATTAGCGAACTGGAGGGCCATTATGATGTACTCGTTGTGTGAATGCATTGCGACACGTAATCTCCATGTGAATGGCGATTCCACTAAAGTGAACCTTGGTCAGTTTGATCACTGGGATCGTAACTACTGAAGCTGATAGCTATTGGGTTTTGCAGTGAATTAGTGGATGCTAAAATCTAGGTGTGAACAATGAATGTCGTACGCAATAGTTAGCATTCAGCAAGGGGCACATATGCTTAACTTATCTATGATTACTACACCAGTGAATCATCCTTATTTTCAATAGAAATAGTGCCGCATAATTCCATAGCATTTCTTTTACATGGATTTCTTTTAGGGTAAGACTAGTACAATAGGCAAGTTGTTTATCAGACTCCGTATTACTAAAAGCGCGCTCATCTGGTCGCATAAAGCTTATTTGAACTTGATTAGTTAAGACTCGTCTAGGCAAGATTTAGCAAGATTTCTAGATAAAACAAAGATAACATTAACGGTCCCGGAGATATTAGACTTTAACTACACCCATAAATGCACCTGCACTTTAGAATCAGAGAAACGGTCTAATGAATCGCAAGAAGTTAGATTACTTGGTGAATAAAAGATTTTAAATGAGAAGTAACAGCTTTTTGGAGAATGGCGGCCTGAAGGCAGCTGTATTAATTTGTCTGATCATGCTGCCTCCGTTGTAGAAGTATCCTTACATTTTTTGTCTTTTCATGATATGTAACGATTTCTAAGCTCTGAGTACATTTGGTGTTTATTGAGAAGCTATACTGTAAGAGTTGTTTAGAAACAATACACCAACGGTTTGTTCTCAAATAGCTGTTGAACCTATGCAACAATTGTTTCGAGCACTCCAACATTTTCAGGGCCACAGGAGAGCATAATCTCGCACTGCGACATCTTAACCGATGTCGGTCAGATAAAACCTTTGCAGAGGACGCTGTACACCTTATGGCAGATGTGTATCTGACTTCGGAATGTCAGCTGACTTACGTGGAAACAAACAATCACAGTGCCCACAGTTTGATATCCAGCAACGCCGCGACTCCATACTCCGACACGATGCATAGGCATATCGCCGGCGACGGCTTCTCTGACTCCAAGCATGATGACAATACCGGATATGAGACTGTGAGCAAATTACTGAAGGTGAGCAGTCCACATAACCACAGCTTATTGCATCAAACTTATGACCCTAACTAATGTGATATAGTATGGGAATGCTCTATAGTGTCTGGAACTGCAACCACAATACCTAGGAAAAGGACGCTGACAAGACTGGAAAATGGATCAGGCCCAGCTGTTCCCGATTGTTTCATGAACTACTTATGCTGTTACTGAGGCCATTTGTGGCTTAGGAGGTGAGTGAGAAGGTTGGGTTGCTCTCCTTGGAATAAAAGTAACCAGCTCGGAGGAAACTTTGATAGCTCCAGCAAATGGTACCACTTCAAACGTCGTACACTCTACAGGCCACAGTGGAGTTAATACACGCACCGATATGCTCTTCGCACTTGCTATTTCCTTGTAAACTTTGTGAATCATAGGGGAGTGACATCAATGTTGTGTAAACATTCCAACAAACAAAAAGTAACACATCGGGCTTCTTGAAGTCGACAAGCTAAATTTTTTATGACGTGATAAACCTTTTATCTGGGGAACAAAGTGGAGAAAATAACCTAGTTTGCACCGCAGCATAATCACAGTAGAAGTAAGTTGAGACGAAGAAATTACTTAGCATGTATCAAATCGTCTATTTTGTATAAATTATTCCAACCGGTTAATCTCATTTCAACCTTAGAGTTGTTTTGATATTTTGTACATCCTTAGAGTGGGATGATTTCAACCAGTACTTTTTAACTAATGTATTCTGTACCGATTCGAAAGTCTACTTCACACTAGGTTAACTGAATTACCTGCCAGATACAGCCATAGCACTCAAGTGAGCGATGGTTTCACCCAACGCTGCATGAATGCTCGCGTCTGCGCGCTCTCCTGTTTGATCTCTCCAGCGAGCCAGTAGCCCGCCCATTCTACATCTACAGATTCAAACAAGTACCCTTCCCCGACAGAAATAGCAGAACGTATAGTACGTGGAATAATCTGATAACTTCGCATATTTTTCTCATCCACTAATATCCGATAAATACTATTTCGAGGGAGCAGTTGGTAGGTTTGGACGGTATAATTTGATATTCATCACACCTATACTAAGTCAGTTAGCGTTCACACGCCAGTAAAAGGACTGTACGACTGCTTCCCATTTTCGGGAATCGTCAGAAGTGCGTATTTCATCTGACTAATGCTTGACGGCTGGCTGTGTAGCTTGTGAGCTGCTGGGACGAATAAGTTAAAATTGCAACTAAAATCCTCCTATGGTTGGCGGCATCCGGTTTCGGATTTGTCTGTCACTGTGGCCAGCCACAGGACGCCTGCGCCTACAGAGGGACCATGGATGGCTTGCGCTGCACCACCCACAGCTCCAACCACACACCCCATATCCAGTGTAAACCCGAAGGAATAAGACCGGAGGCATGTGGATGGGAACCACGTTTCATCAACGGAGCCGGCCCACACTCCTTCACAGGCAAACACAAGCACGCTGTATTTGGGAATCAAGCGCACACAAGGCGGTGGCTGGACCGTAGTCCGCTCCACACTGAGTGCATGGAACCACTCTTTGAGCCTAGCACGACCACAAGAACCGTGCACCCCGTCCCCTCCAGCAACGACCAACTGTCTCCTGGAGCCAGTATGGACGAGGTAGTGGGTAATAGACAGGTAGGCACCTTGTCAACATGCACATCAAGCGCAGCCACACCGGGGATATCAAGCAACAGCCAATCACTTGAGAGAAAGATAGCAAGGAAAATAAATCGAATAATGCATAAGGAAACGTGACAAAAATCTTAAATTAATGAGCATATGAGATAAGTTGTTAATAAAGGATCCAAGATAAGTTCAAGGGGTCAGAAAGTATATTTTACGGAAATGACACAAACACGAAAATGTTATCGAAATTAACTACAATTGGCTTAAGCGAGTTGTGCAGGTTTATGGAAGAGCGTACGGGTGGATATTTATTTGAAAAGAGAAGCATTAGGACAAAATTGCAACCCCACCACCTGAAATGATGAGTCTGAGCATGCAAGCACGCGGTTAGTAAATCAAATGCAGCGTACCTACAAACGCTGCGCTGATTCTGCCTACGTTCTCTGCAGGGCCCGTCGTCGCTTCGGTAGTGGTCCCGAGTGGCCTCGCACATGGCTCACTAAGCCTGCCTGACTCAGGCACTCGCGACCGCATGTGCTGCAGCCCCTATATTTGTTGTAGCTCTACGTATATTCCATTCAGCTCCCCTACTTGCTACTCACTAGTAATCACTACACAGACAAAACTTTTTATAAGGTCACAATTTAATTGGCCGCCTAATTTTACTACGTTTGTCGTTTGGATAATGGGCTACACTGTCCTCTGCATGGTAGTAACGTGCAAGTCAGTTGGTAGTGAACGGCACTATGTCGCGACTTATAACTTGCCATGACGGTCGCCGCCGTCCCTCGTAGTTCAGTGGTTTCAACCACAGATTGGTTGTGGGGTCAAACACCACAGGAGCTAAATAATATTTCTAGATGCAAGATTACACAAGCTGGACTGTTGGCCATTCGATGGGCACTTAGTGCACGTCGTACCGCCAAGATCGATCGCAAGTTACCCACTTCATTTGTAATCACTTGCTTCATTCACCGCTCTCAAACGCAGTCTAAGGCCACAATTCCGATTGAGAGCGAAACGTACTCAACACCGAAGCAGCTGTCGGTGACTTTACCTACCACGGAATCGCGGAGAGCACCAATGGATGACAGGATAGTCATGGATCAATCATACACGGCCTTGTCTTTTGTAATGCAGTTGTCTCTATACTTGTGGCACAGGATACACAGAATGTCTGAGTCATTTCACTACTCAAATTTTCCCCAGTACTTGTCTGCTTACTACGTTTGCTTGCTAGTGTCCACTGGTGAGTTTATGAAGCTGAAGTTATCTTTTCTAAAATCTTGGCAAGCATAGCAACTAATAAAGAATTAATAACAGATATCTTGCTCAACGGCGCGAGTAACAGTACAACGGAGTACTCTGGTCAATATATAATTCACTAGAATACCTACAGGTTCGTTGAACCAGCAGCTACAGCTTATACTGTGCACAATAGACGCTTCTAATCTCTGTAACCGGATTTTAGAGTGGTCAAGAAGGGGGCGAAAATTTTAGCTTTTAGAGTGCTTCTTGTTAGTTCTGAGCAGTGGCGTCACGAATGCCAAGGAGAACTTTCAGTGCGATCGAAAGGTTCTCACTATACCCCGGGTTAGTTTTGGCAGACCAGTTGAGAACATTTATAGCCAGCGTTGCCTCAAACGCAGATGCAATATTAGTTGCGGGGATAGATGCAATAGTTTACGACAAACCTAAATTCATGACAAAATTTTCACTATTCCGAGCCAGAAAACTGTGAACTCGCAACAATGTATTACATTCACTGAAAGAATGATCGAAGCTTGTTGGTTCACTTACATTACGAGTGCCAAGTACCTTTTGTCATCAACTTCGTGTGCTTTTACTAGAGCTTACCAGTGGTAAAGAAGGAGAAAAGACATCAATATCTGTGTATTTTGGCACCGTTGTTAACCGGTTCCAAGGCTAAAATCGAGACATCGTTGGAATCGTTTGCACAAATGGCCCATGATGAAGTAAGTCTTAATGTAATTCTTCAGGTCCCTACATTATGCGTTATTGTTTTGCGCCTTGATTGCTTTGTAAATAAATAAAAGACTTTCGTGTCTTGAGTATGCTCTGCTTTGTTAGCGCCGCGTTCATCATGCTTCGCACTGTAAGCAACTGCCCGTGCTTACTACTTATGAATACGTATGAATACGCAGTACATTGTCATGTTTCTTGGCACGTTTGTACGCAGTGAATCTGTTTAGCTTTTGGAGAGCATCTTCTTGAGGCATAACGAAATCAGCTCTTAAAAGATACCTTGCGCTCACTGGGACTATCAGGAATGCAATGTCTCAATGCAGATGGTAAATCGGAATGGATTTGGCAAGAAACATGTCGTTGCGGGAAGAACTGCATTCCACTAGTAGCCCTTGACGGTACAGTAAATACGTACACAGTATCGAACCAATTCTTGGCACATCTTTCAATGCATTTGATTTCACGTCTGAAGCGAAATCCATTGCCTTGATGTGTTTACTCACCAACACTTCATCTTTCTGACAAAGCCACTAGTGAACAGTAGGTTTTATATCCAAAACATACCTATAATTGAATCCAAGGGTTAAGTTTGGTTGTTTCTTACTGTTCAGAAGCAGCCGGCTGTTAGGGCGATGCGTATTGTACATACATCTTTTGGAAAACATTCTTATCTATCAACTGGTTCCCTTTATCTATCGCTATTAGTAACATCTGCGTAAACACATCCTTTCGCCTATATTTTACCTGCTTGTGCTCACTGTTTTTGCCCTCAGATTGCAATGCGGCTTGGCTGTTAACTCTCTCTCTTTTTGTTCTTGCCTGTCTCTTATTGGTTCCTTTGTTGAGCACTCTTCATTGGCGTTATTTTTCTTGCATGCTTTTAGCAACATGGTTGGCTGTAATGTCTTTCAGTAGCTTCCCTACAGACCACGGTTAAAACTATTTAGGCAGACGTGATTCAATGCATACAATACTTTCACAGCACGCCTTTGGAGTTCTTTTTGCGGTCATGGGATGAAGGGGTCAGCTACCACATCACATTTTCTGGTGACGGCATTTTGGGAAAACATCTCAATCTCACTTGAACAAATGCAAGCGCTGCTTCAACAGCAAGAGTTGCCGTTTTGGAAATAGCGGAAGTTGATTGAACATCCAAACTGAATCCACTCCGACAGCTGCAGGACTCTCTTACAGCCACAAGCACAGAGTTTCGCTTCAATGGAGTGTGCAGAGTGACATTTGAATCATGGTTCCGAAAGTAGGAAGAGATATTCGAGTGGAACTTGTGGACCAAGATGATGCCTGGAAAGTTCGGTTGTTATTGTTGTTGTTGCTGCGAAAACTTGGTGCATTCGAGCATGAACGACACACAAATTTCGTGCTGTCAAAACATACAAGAGACTTCAGCTTTCATGAGACAGTGTAAACCCTGACGCAGATTTTCAGTGAACAAGCCTCTTTGTTTAGTATCCGGTACAAGTACTTGCAATTAGTCAAACGGGATGCTCATGATTTAGTCACTCATGCCGGAAGCGTGGACTGCGAATGTGAGTGCTTGAGATTGAACACGATGACTGGTGTTCAGTTCAAGAGTTTTCTTTATGTGTGCAGTTCCATTCTGATACTGATATTCGAACGCGCATCCTCCACCAGCTTGAACTGAAACCACACCTGACGTTGCAAGTGATCACAGCCTGATGCCAGCACTGGCTGATAACTCTGAAGCCTGACACAAAAATGATTGAAACCGCTTATCACATGAGAGAAGCCCAGATTTGTCGTACAGCTATCCGTTATAAAGAGATTAACCGAAATATATCAAATCAGAAACCGCCGACCGCATGCTGGAACTGTGGCGCATGACATTTTGTAAGAAAACGCACGTGCAACAAGCATCAATGTCAGAAATGCAAGCCGTTGGGCCTACTGTCGTTTTGCGCACAGCTTCAGACGCTCGTAGCACCCAGGATTGCGCACAAAGCCCAACTTTAGGAAGGTCAACCTCCATAGACCGCCAATTAGGGTAGTTCTTATGGCGTTTCGCACGGAATATGCAGACAAGAGAAAGTATTTAGCGGTGAAAATCAACTGCATCCCCGTAACGTTACAATTAGATACGGCGTCCGACATCACCATCATTTCGCGATCAACATGGACAAAGGTTGGTAGACCGCCTTTCAAGTGCACAACTGACGGCTCAAAATGCATCCGGGGAACCGATTAGGTTAGATGCGGAAATTGAATTTGAAGCAAAACCTCAATGACCTGCACCTCCGCGACACGATCTACTTGATTTTATCCACCAACGTTAATCTCTTGGGAATCAATTGGACTGGGAAGTTTAATTTGCTCAGTATACCACTGAATCATGTTTGTACTGATAGGTACGTCATGATGCACTCTAGGACAGTACCGACTCGTCCAGGCCGAAGCATATCCGAACAGCTTTAATCCAAGTATGCTTGTGTCCCAGTCTGAACTTGCGCTGCACGAAAATGCAAGCAAAACTTAATCTGCTTCTTGATGGAAAACCAGGGTTTTGACCCAGGCGTCCAGTTCCTTATGCATCCCTAGCACTTGTTGAACATGAGCTTGATCGATTACAGCAGGCCGGAGTGATCGAGTAAGCCGATTTCTCCCCTTGCGCTTTCCCTATTAGTGTGAAAAATCAACCGAACCGTACTATTCGCTTGTGCGCAGATTTTTCACCGGGTTTGCTGAATGCTGCATTAGAACCTCATCTACACCCGCTCCCACTCCCTGACGAAGTGTTTGCAAAGCTGTATAGAGGCAAGCATTTTTTGCTACGCCTTGATCTCGCAGACGCCTCTATATACAGCTTGAAGTTGAACACGAAAGCAGGAAACCTCGGACAATCAGCACGCGTCGCGGTCTCTACCAGTACAATCGTTTGCCATTTGGAGTCAAAATTGCATCTGCAATTTTTCTGCAAGTCATGGATACAATGCTGACCGGTGTACCTGGAGCTGCAGCCTATCTAGATGATATCATCATCATGAGCGGAACACAAGATGAATTATTTCAACGATTGGATAATCCGCTGACCAGAATCAAGGATTTTGGATCCATTTACGAGCAGATAAATGCAGACGTTTTCTGAAATCTATCAAGTTTCTGAGTTTCGTGATTAACGAAGACGACCGGCGACCCGATCCATAAAATACAAAGGTGATAGACCAATTACCTGCACCAAAGGATGTCACAAACCTACCATCGTTCCTCAGAGTGGTGAGTCATTACAGTGAATTTCCACCGCGTATGCGTCGTTTACGTCATCTCTTACGTCATCTGCTGAAGAAAGAGGTCGAATGGAAATGGTCCGCACAGTGTCAACAGGCTTTCGAAAAAGTGAAATCGCCGCTGAATTCCGACCTACTGCTTAAACTTCATAATCCGTATCCGGATATTATCATGACCACGGATGCTTCAAGCTATGGAATTGGTGCTGTCATTTCACATCGGTTTCCAGACGGATCCGAAAAGGCAGTGGCACACGCTGCACGAGCGCTGACCGCATCCGAGAAGAACTACAGTCAGATTGAGAAGGAAGCGTTGGCTATCATTTTTGCCGTTCAGAAATTCCACAAGATGATATACGGTCGACAGTTCACGCTGGTGACTGATCACAAAGCGCTTCTGGCAATCTTTAGATCCAAAAAGGTTATTCCGGCGTATACGGCCAGTCGACTTCAGAGAGGGGCGACTCTGCTCTTGGCAAATGATTTCACTATGCGATATTTGTCAAGCGATTATTTGGCAACGACGCCCTTCAGAATAATCGACACTGGTGGGCGTGATTCGGAGGATGTAGCCATTTCTTCAATCGCCGCCGAATTAGATGTCAGCTACATGGTACATGTCGCCGTAACTAACTTACCAGTAAAAGGGATGATGGCTAAGCAAGCTACGAAACAGGACGCATTGTTGCAAGAAGTGGTGACTTACACAAGACAGGGCTGACCAAGGAAGTGTCAGAAAGAAGCTCTGATGCAGTTTTATGCACGGCGTGATTTCTTGACTGAAGTTGATTCCTGTCTGTACTTCGCAGATCGTATCGTTATTCCTGAAGTACTCAGATGACATGTGCTAAGGCAACTGCATAATGCCCATCCAGAGATTGCACGCATGAAGGCATTTGTGCGCAGCTACGTTTTTTGGCCCAGGATGGATAGCCAGATTGGACATTGGTCCCTCCTGTTCTAGGTCCTGTAGAGCCTCCATACTACTTGTACGTGCGACATTGCAATCTTGGCCAAACCCAGAATCACCCTGTTTGTGGATACACATGGGTTCCGCAGGGGCGGTTGAAGGTGTTTTCTTCCTGATCATAGTCGATGACTGTTGTAAGTGGCCGGAAATTCTCGTAATGCGAAACACGTCCGCAAACAGCACAATCTTTGCGATGAGACATGTTCTCAGTCAGCACGGGCTACCAGAAGCAGTCGTGCCGGATAACGGGTCACAGTTTATATATATATATATATATATATATATATATTATATATATATATATATATATATATTCCTGGAGTGCGAGAAACCGTTCTTAAATTAGGAACAGATCAGTATGTACAGAAATGTTCATGCTCTTGCATGAGTGCATGTTATCGCCAATTCTTAGCCTTTTAGATATTTTTTGGACCATCCTGGAATATTTCATCAGGTGAGTTGTCAGATGAGAACATGGATGATATCACTTCTAGATCAAAGAATCTGTCGAGTTTGGTGTGGAATGAAGTGGGGTTTTCACATGTCCTGATTGCGGTTGGTAGGCTGTTCCACAAGACGGCGTATCTGATGAGGAAAAAGTTGGACCGCATTGATGTTCTAGCCCTTGGTATCCGTAGCGTAAATTTTTTGTTACGGAGTCTGTGATGGTTATTGTGTTTTATCTCTATGTTATGTAGGTAAGAGTACGTTTTCTGGTGCAACAAATTGTGGAGGAGCATCAAGTTTTGCTTTAGACGTCGCAGCCAGAGAGGCTCGATGTGAAGCTGTTTGCAACGTTCGCGATAGTTTAGAGTGGATGTGCTATTGAACAAACGTTTGGTGAATGACCTCTGTAAATTTTCTATAGATTTCCTATCTAACTTCCGCATGCTGCCATAGGTGAAGTTGCAGTATTCGAGAATAGGACGAGTGAGAGTTTTAAATAATTCCAATCTGGCAGGGACTGTATGGATTTTGTGGCATATGTTAGCCACGGATTGTTTAGCCCGAGCTATTTGGTATTGGGCTTGTTCAGAAAAACGGAAGTCGGAAGAGTAGCGGATTCCAAGATCACGAGTAGACTGCCGTATGGACATACTTTTGTTGTTAAGTTTAATTGACCCATTGGGGATCGAGCAACCACATGGCATAATGTTTGATTTGTCGGTTGAGAATTTTATCAACCACGTCTCAGATCATTCTTCAAGAGAGAGAGATCTTCTTGAATTAAAAGTAGTGTGCTCTGAAGCGCATCACGCCGGAGTTTGTAAACAATCTTGATATCATCTGCAAATAGAAAGAGTTGGCCATTTTTGATGGAGCTGCCAATATCATTGATGTAGAGGAGAAAAAGCAGAGGGCCGAGTACAGTTCCTTGGATGACGCCGCTGGTTATTGGACGAGGAGAAGAATGGTGATCACCCAAAGTGACTATTTGAGACCGATTACTAAGGTAGGAGGAAAGTCAACTTAAAAGCGGGTTTTGGATTCCAAAGGATTCAACTTTTTCAACAACCGTTTGTGTGGTACACGGTCAAATGTTTTTCTATGTCCACAAGCAAAATTATTATTGCATAACCGGAGTGTATGGATTCTGACGTGTAGTATAGTTAGTGTAGCTAGCAGGTCGTGCAGGAATGTCTATCAAGGAAGCCATGTTGTAATGTGTTAAATAGGTTCAGGGAATTAAGGAATTCCATCAACGGTTTCTTGACTACTCGTTTAAACAAGCTCTTCGACCTGTCATTAGCTTTTAAAGAAGATGGCATATCGCGTCTAGCCACCCAAACAATTTGTCATTACCGTCAGGGTATATTGCTATGTGAGGCAGCTACTCAGGGGTACAGCTTCGTGATGTACGTATTCCTGATGTGTTTACCAGGTTACCGCCTGGATAAGTACGAGAACATTACGCGGTGTTCACAGTTGTATTTGGCATACCCGCCGTGTGGTTACTGTGATCGTAATGACCGAGATCTACTTCAAAGAGGACCGAAGTCTGACTAGAGGTTGTGAGTCGCAATCCAACCACACAGCGGGTACACCAAGTGCTACTTGGAGTCCCTTACCGTTGTGTCAACACGTTGCTCGGTCGGACCTAGGAGCCATAGTGAGTCAGGCGTCAACCTTTGAACACTATACCTCGAGGTCCACCCCAGCTCAGGGTATCTCCATCTGATGAGGTCCAAAATAAGGACGAAACCGTTCATGGGTCTCAGGGTTGGAGGAGCAACCACCGAATCCACCAATTCGGTTACGGTCCTTGTGATCGTAATGACCGAGGTCCACTTAGGACCGAGGTCAGAATAGAGATTGCGAGTCGCAATCCAACCACACAGCGAGTACACCAAATTCCACTTGGAACACTTTACCGCTGTGCCAAATATTGCTCACGGATCTTAGTACCGTAATAATAAATGCGTCAGCCGTTAAGCACTGAGCACCGAGTCCCTCCCAGCTCAGTGCTATCTCCAACTGATGAGTCCTAAACAAAGACGAAACCGCCTACTGTATGGTGTCAGCGTTGGGAGGAGCAACATCAAATTACCCGATGTTGACCAGTGGTGTAAGAAAAGCAATGACAAGCTAAGGCTTTGCTGTATGTAACAAAATAGCTACACGAGACTCTTCAACTCGACGCTAGACAACAGTCAGCAGTGGTGAGAAGTCACACTACACTTATATGCATCGGCAAGAAACTATTACTATCCTGCTGGTTAACGCTGATAAACGTGCACAAAACAAAGCTATCCGGACTCGTCGTAACACCATTAAACTTGCCTTATCCAGTACAAACCGCTAGATTAGATCCCATAAACTAGATCATTGCCAATCCAAGCACATAGCAAAGCTGCTATATTAACTCGTCACAAGAGAAAAGACGTATCAAAGTTCTAATCCAATTCATGCTGTAGACAAAATATACGTAAGTTGGTCAATTAACCCTCGCTTGCAAATGCAAGTGAAAATAAAATGAACCACACCCAAGCCGCTGTTTCCTTAGCAGCTACACTTAATTTTGTAATGCTACACTCGCCTCTGCTTCGTGCGGCGCCAACCAAGCCGGGGACAAAACAAGGTATCGGATCCGGCTAGACCGAAGTATCTTAGGCACCGAAGACAGTCGATTTTGAGGGAGAGATATCCTTCGCCCGTTTGTCACTGAGGTGATTCACAGCTCCTGTCTGAACCGATTCAACCCTAATGGCGGCCTTCACCTGACTGGCTGTAGTTACGATCACCTACGCACCATAGCAACTCGTGCGGCGATGGTGAATGGTGCTCCGGCAATTGATCTGGATTGCGCGGTAACCTGTGTCACGAGTTGCGAACTTAGTGGTTCATCTTCCCGCGGATCTAGAGTGTGCCTTGCTAGTGTCCCAAGAACCTTTCACGTTCTTAGTTTTCGGCCTCCGATTAATCACTCTTTAATGTCGGTTTCAATATCAGTGCTCCGAACGGAGGTGCATCCAGTCACCTTTGCTTGCGTACTGGTGTCGGAAAACTAAGAGAACTCCAAAAATATTATTTAATGCATAAATGCTTATAGGAAGCTTGCGAAACGTTCATCGGCGTTCAGAGTTGAGTGTTTAACGTAAGTGGCTGGAGTGCAATGCCGTCTTACCAATCGAATTATTTAGAACTTCGAAAATGTTTTGGGATTAAACATTATCACAAGCTTTTATTTATGGCATTTGCTTATAAAAGCGCACCTACTCCTACGCAAAGATGCACGGATCAAAATCTGGATTGATAACGAATGGTTTCACATTGTGATCAGACTTGCTTTTGGATCGATAAGTGCTGGTAACTGCGTCTCAACTGCGGTTTTCACGTTTCGTTGGCAGGAATCACGCTAACAAGAATGAATCTCTCTATACCCGTCTGGTCGCTTGGATCAGCGTATATTGCTTCACATACATTCGAAATATGACGTAGGGAATCCAGTATTGGGATTCATCACTAACTTTACCAGCATTCCATGCTTTGTTTCCGCATATCTTTCTCCGACCCGAATCGAGTAGAGTGCGGCATAGTGTGGCAAAATAACTGGTGTTTTCCACCTATGGTTAGCGTGCATAGTGGTGCCGTTGAGAATGCGCTATGCTGCTTTACCTGATTTCTGTGTTCTTTAACGATCTGGTGAGCGTTTTCACCATGATCTCTTCACGGAGGACGTCAAGATTTGGCGAGCGATCAAGGGATTGGACGACCACGAGATCATCCAGCGCGACCTCGATGAAGCCTGGAATCTGTTTGGTGAGAAACGCACTGCCTTTTAAGGTAGGCAATGGTCAATTTGTTCACTTCCGCCATCGATATGCCAACTTTCACAGGCTTGGGGGGCACGATCGGAAGATCACCTCTCAGGAAAGTTACCCCTAAGTGCCTGATACAGGACGACCTCAGTGGTTTCAGACAGTAAAATGATGCTTCAGAAACAGGTAACCAGTATGTTGCGCAGGGCACGCGGGAGTTTAGGTTTATAAAACCTCTCTCTGGTGTTCAGTGCCTAAGTGCTTCCCCATGTTGATTACGTTAACCAGGTTTAAAAACTTTGACTAATGCATGAGCTGGAAGCGCCCAACATGCCACAATTCAGGGCAATGAACAATGTCAGGAGTTGGCGCCACCTTTCGTAGGAGAAAAGACTGAAGAGATGATGAGTGTTCAATTGATACTATCGGGTGCTACGTGATGACTTCATTGCTGTACCCTAAAATCCTGAAATATCCAATCCACATATTCCTTCACCTTATGAAACTAAGCCCGAACCCCGGCCAAAGAGTCATGAGTTTGAAACAGAGTCAAAAACGCAGTCTTCTTGATTTATCGACGAAGTTACATCTTCTCCCGTTTCCGCCAACCATAGAACACTGTTCCAAACTCAGTTGTCATTGCCACCACAGCAATCATTTTCAAGAGCCATCGAATAATGCATTGAACTTTCGGGACTTTATTGCGTAAACGTATATGCCGAGATACGTTCACTGTAAATAATCAACAATGACACATGTTAATTTGTACAGAGAGGTGAGCAATCCGATTGGTAGTTGCAATAATCAATCATTGTAACAACATTTTGTATCTACTTACTTGGTATCATCTAACTCTCAAAACCCTGTGTTCACTCCATTACTCTATCGCTTTACTGCTACGTATTTTATTTGGTCCACCCATGCAGTTTTCGAAATTTCCATTTCTTGTATTCCCAACCAATGGAACACGTTAAGCCTAGATTATTTTGCTCGTCACAAACCATTGTTTCATCTTTTATACGGATACACTGCGATCAATCATCGTGTCCTTGACGATTCCTTTTAAGAGATAAGTAGATCAACTTCGTTGATCATGTCAGCGGACTCGTACATTTGGAAAGGAGTTGGTTACGCCCCCACCTCCGGCCCCTTGTCCAACCTGGTCCGTTTCTTCACACTATGTCGCAGCTTACAATCTTCGTATTGCTACTTTTCTGTTTGAAAAAATTAAGCTTCATAACTGTAAAGCCTCTATCATTTAACAAGCTTCGGTCATGCTCGATACTTCGCCACTCTCATCCTCAACGTTAACTTGCATGGAACTAGCGTTTTCCAGTGCAGTAGCATCTTGCTGCAAAGCGAATCAACCGATCGAATACGAACGCAATGTTTGACTTCACATAAGGTTACATCTCATTCCTTTGCTCATTTCTGTTCGTCACCAAACAGCCGGACAGTAGTGCAGTTGTCTACGGAGCGGCTGCTTGCTATATAGCGCTACGACAAACTCAAAAGGCACGCAACCAACTCAAACGCCTAGCCAAGGTCCCATGGACAGCGCAAGTAAGTCGACTGGCAGGCTCACCCGTTCCTCGTTATTTTATTCCTCTCAAATGTGTTTTCCGCGGTTCAGTGGTTGTAGAGGCTACCCTGTCCTCTGCACGATAGTAAAGTGCAAGTCATTGGACAGTGAGCGTCGTTATGGCACACCTAATAATTTGGTCGCATCAGTCCTCACCGTCCCCCGTAGCTCAGTGGTTTGCACCACAGACTGGCGATACTTGGGTTGCGTTTACTAGCCCCACGGAGTAGGAAACAGCCATACGGTGTCTTTCCGGACACTTGGTGGCTGTCTAGACATAATGAACTAATTCTACCCTGGCCAAGTAGACAACTACAGGCCAATTCGTCTGACACCTTTTTTGGTAATGGTTTCTAAGAAAATCGTGAAGAAGGGATTGCTGCAGTTGCTACAGTCAAACGAGGTCCTGACGCCCGCACAGCACGGTTTTATGCAAGGCCGCTCATGCGTTACGAACCTGCTTGTGACGAGGCACGAGTGGTTGAAAGCAATAAGTAAGGTGAAGTCTGTTGACGTGATATTCATCGATTTCAGTAAAACGTTCGACAACGTTAGCCATGAGGTTATCCTTCAAAAAATCAGGATGTGTGGTGTCGGTGGCTCACTGCGCCGATGGATCCGTGACTTTCTTGTTGGACGAAAGTGGAGGGTACAGGTCGACGACCATCTAACTGACTGGTACCTTTCTACAAGTGGCGTGCCTCAAGGCACTGTGCTGGGGCCCACTCTGTTCCTAATGCAGATCAACGATATACCTCAGCTTCTCCGATCACCGTGTGCCTTGTTTGCGGACGGCATGAAGATTTGAAGAAAAATTGAAGCTCCCGATGATTGTGGCCTACCTCAGCAAGATCTCAACCGCCTATCCACATGGTCTGCAGAAGTTCTTCTCTCGGTCAACCCAGCCAAGTTTGCATTTATGAGTCTGGGGATGGGTGCTGACGGCCGAACCCACACCCTTGACGGCCAACCGCTATATCCCACACTCCATAAAGGACCTAGGTGTACTCCCGTACTACACTTTGAATTCCGTGGACAACACGAACAGGCTATATCGTAACGGACTGCGCATACTTTTGGCGCTCAAACGTAGCTTCGGCACATGGTCTGAAGAGGTTGCCACTCGCCTCCTCTCTTCCATCATTAGACCAATGCTAGAGTATGGTTCGCCCGCCTACTTTCCGATTACCCGAGGCGAAGCACAAAAGATCGAACGGGTCCAACATGTTGCTATTAGGTTGATCCCGAGGTTACTTGGCTTTGGGTATGAAAACCGGTGCGAGAAACTAGGACTCTACACCTTGTCCTACCGTCTGGTGCAAGTCGACCTCATTATGACCCACTGTATTCTACATCTCGGTGAGTTCCCGATGCTAAGACCAATGCTGTAATTACGAGGGCCATGCAGCACACGCGGACACAGATAAAGCATGTCGTGCCGGATGTGAAGCGTGTTCCCCACCCACTGTGCTTCGAACGGAGAGTGGTAAACATTTGGGACAGTTTACCTGAACATGTGATGGAGGCAACATCTGTGCAGCAGTTCAAAAGGTTGTTAGATTTATATTCTACCACTATTCGATTCAGAGAACGATTGCACACTTACGATGGCATATCACATTTGTGAGTCCTGCAACATCGTGGGTCAGATATTTCAAATATTACATGAGAACGACAACAATATTCACTGCTGACAATTTTTATAGCGATTTTCGCCGTATTTCGAAAGAGTAGTACAAATTTCATTTCTACTTGCTCTATAATACAGTCTTCAGTAGTATTCAGTATACCGTTTTCAATCTCCCCATTAATCCCTAGTTCTTCCCGAGTAAGTCGGGAAGAACTAGGGATTAATGGGGAGATTGAAAACGGTATACTGAATACTACTGAAGACTGTATTATAGAGCAAGTAGAAACGAATTTTGTACAACTTTTTCGAAATACGGCGAAAATCGCTATAAAAATTGTCAGCAGTGAATATCGTTGTCGTTCTCATGTAATATTTAAAATATCTGACCCACGATGTTGCAGGACTCACAATTGTGATATGTCATCGTAAGTGTGCAATCGTTCTCTGAATCGAATAGTGGTAAAATATAAATCTAACAACCTTTTGAACTGCTGCACAGATGTTGCCTCCATCACATGTTCAGGTAAACTGTTCCAAATGTTTACCACTCTCCGTTCGAAGCACAGTGGGTGGGGAACACGCTTCACATCCGGCACGACATGCTTTATCTGTGTCCGCGTGTGCTGCATGGCCCTCGTAATTACAGCATTGGTCTTAGCATCGGGAACTCACCGAGATGTAGAATACAGTGGGTCATAATGTGGTCGACTTGCACCAGACGGTAGGACAAGGTGTAGAGTCCTAGTTTCTCGCACCGGTTTTCATACCCAAAGCCAAGTAACCTCGGGATCAGCCTAATAGCAACATGTTGGACCCGTTCGATCTTTTGTGCTTCGCCTCGGGTAATCGGAAAGTAGGCGGGCGAACCATACTCTAGCATTGGTCTAATGATGGAAGAGAAGAGGCGAGTGGCAACCTCTTCAGACCATGTGCAGAAGCAGTGTTTGAGCGCCAAAAGCATGCGCAGTCCTTCACCATATAGCTTCTTCGTGTTGTCCACGGAATTCAAAGCGTAGCGCCAGAGTACACCTAGATCCTTTATGGAAAGTGTGGGGTATAGCGGTTGGCCGTCAAGGGTGTGGGTTCGGCCGTCAGCACCTTTCCCCAGACTCATAAATGCAAACTTGGCTGGGTTGACCGGGAGAAGAACTTCTGCAGACCATGTGGATAGGCGGTTGAGATCTTGCTGAGGTAGGCCACAATCATCGGGAGCTTCAATTTTTCTTCAAATCTTCATGCCGTCCGCAAACAAGGCACACGGTGATCGGAGAAGCTGAGGTATATCGTTGATCTGCATTAGGAACAGAGTGGGCCCCAGCACAGTGCCTTGAGGCACGCCACTTGTAGAAAGGTACCAGTCAGTTAGATGGTCGTCGACCTGTACCCTCCACTTTCGTCCAACAAGAAAGTCACGGATCCATCGGCGCAGTGAGCCACCGACACCACACATCCTGATTTTTTGAAGGATAACCTCATGGCTAACGTTGTCGAACGTTTTACTGAAATCGATGAATATCACGTCAACAGACTTCACCTTACTTATTGCTTTCAACCACTCGTGCCTCGTCCCAAGCAGGTTCGTAACGCATGAGCGGCCTTGCATAAAACCGTGCTGTGCGGGCGTCAGGAGCTCGTTTGACTGTAGCAACTGCAGCAATCCCTTCTTCACGATTTTCTTAGCAACCATTACCAAAAAGGTGTCAGACAAATTGGCCTGTAGTTGTCTACTTTGCTAGGGTAGAATTAGTTCATTATGTCTAGACAGCCACCAAGGGTCCGGAAAGGCACCGTATGGCTGTTTCCTACTCCGTGGGGCTAGTAAACGCAACTCAAGTATCGCCAGTCTGTGGTGCAAACCACTGAGCTACGGGAGGCGGTGAGGACTGATGCGACCAAATTATTAGGTGTGCCATAACGACGCTCACTGTCCAATGACTTGCACTTTACTATCGTGCAGAGGACAGGGTAGCCTCTACAACCACTGAACCGCGGAAAACACAGTTGAGAGGAATAAAATAAAAAGGAATGGGTGAACCTGCCAGTCGACTTACTTGCGCTGTCCATGGGACCTTGGCTAGGCGTTTGAGTTGGTTGCGTGCCTTTTGAGTTTGTCGTAGCGCTGTATAGCAAGCAGCTGCTCCGTAGACAACTGCACTACTGTCCGGCTGTTTGGTGACGAACAGAAATGAGCAAAGGAATGAGATGTAACCTTGTGTGAAGTCAAGGATTGCTTTCGTATTCGATCGGTTGATTCGCTTTGCAGCAAAATGCTACTGCAATGGAAAACGCTAGTTCCATGCAAGCTAACCTTGAGGATGAGAGTGGCGAAGTATCGAGCATGACCGAAGCTTGTTAAATGATAGAGGCATTACAGTTATGAAGCTTAATTTTTTCAAACAGAAACGTAGCAATACGAAGATTGTAAGCTGCGACATAGTGTAAAGAAACGGACCAGATTGGACAAGGGGCCGGAGGTGGGGGCGCAACCAACTCCTTTTCAAATGTACAGTCCACTGACATGATCAACGAAGTTGATCTACTTATCTCTTAAAAGGAATCGTCAAGGACACGATTGTTGCTCGCAGTGTATCCGTATAAAAGATGAACCAATGGTTTGTGACGCGCAAAACAATCCATGCTTAACGTGTTCGTTTGGTTGGGAATATAAGAAATGGAAATTTCGAAAACTACATGGGTGGACCAAATAAAATACGTAGTAGTAAAGCGATAGAGTAATGGAGTGAACACAGGGTTTTGAGAGTTAGATGATACCAAGTAAGTAGACACAAAATGTTGTTACAATGATTGATTATTGCAACTACCAATCGGATTGCTCACCTCTCTGTACAAATTAACATGTGTCATTGTTGGTTATTTACAGTGAACGTATCTCTGCATATGCGTTTACGTAATAAAGTCCCGAAAGCTCAATGCACTATTCAATGGCTTTTGAAAATGGTTGCTGTGGGGGCAATGACAACTGAGTTTGGAACTGTGTTCTATGGTTGGCGGAAGCGGGAGGAGATGTAACTTCGTCGCTAAATCAAGAAGACAGTGTTTTTGACTCTTTTTCAAACTCACAACCCTTTGGCATGGGTTCGTGCTTAGTTTCAGAAGGTGAAGGAATATGTGGATTGGATATTTCAGTATTTAGTATACAACATTGAAGTCATCACGTAGCACCCGATAGTGTCCATTGAACACTCATCATCTCTTCAGTCTTTTCTCCTACGAAAGGTGGCGCCAACTCCTGACATTGTTCATTGCCCTGAATTGTGGCATGTTGGGCGCTTCCAGCTCCTGCATTAGTCAAACTTGTCAAACCTGGTTAGAGTAATCAACATTGGGAAGCACTTAGGCAATGAACATCCGAGAGTGGTTTTATAAATCTTACCTCCCGGGTGCCCTGCGCAACATGCTGGTTACCTGTTTCTGATGCGTCGTTTTACTGTCTGT